CAACTGAGGGGCGATCCACATGGAGGCAGCCGTTGGTGAGGAGCCGACGGAAGGAGACTGAGGACGGTGATGGGGCCTGATGCATTCGCCGCAGGGTTGAGCAGTGAAGTGTCTTGCTGTTCGTTGACGGGAGCAAAACTCACTACAGCGTTAGACCGAAACCAGGGAACAACCCGAGGTGTGGTCTTTCTTTCGCTGAAAAAAGCTTCTATGTGGCTCGGAACCTCTCCAGGTCACCTGAACAAATATTCATTGGAGACACTTGAGACTCTGGAAGCACCCTACTTTAGTATTGATACTGGATCGATCATGATACATCTCGGAATCATGAAATTTCTCGCTGGAACCACTGACCCCCCAAGAAAGAAAACACACAACTGTTTGAAAACCACTGAGTCGCTGTAATTGGGCTCAAATGGTGCAATGTCTCATCAACCACATAAAGTTCCCAGCCAAGACTCATTAACGGGACACGTGACTAAAACAGGAACGACATTAAAGTAAAAGACTCATGAGATCTCATGGGGCCAAGATCACATTTTGGCCCCCTCCCCCAAAAAACAAGAACAGAACCTGCAGAACATAAAAATGCATAGAGAAGGTAAAGAACATCAAAGGTGTTTCATCCTTCATCCTCTGACTTGATTTGTAACTTAAGTAGGGTGGCTTCTGGGTGGCTGGATCCCAAATCAGGTGTTTCTCCCACTTGGGAGCCGAGTGACTTCCTCTATTCTCTACTGCTCGCACCAGGTGCTTCTCCCACGTCCACGCGCCGCACCTGGCGCCCCAGCTCTACGCGTCGGAGCCAGGGACCTGCGGCCCGTTTCGTGCGGGATGCTTCTCTGGACCCGCTTCTCTGTGAGAAGAATCTGAGTTCACCAACCTTTCATCGCAAATGAACCACGAGCTCGTCTCAAAAACCCTTCGTGGCAACATGGTTCCCTGGCTGCATCCTGGATCGGAATCCGGATTTGGGCGGGCTGAATCCGGGCCCCTCCGCTCACGCCGCACCTGTCTCCACATAGGCCACGGTGATTTCAGCCTCCACCCTGGCGCACACTGGGCAGGGGAAGGATAGGATAGAGCCGACCGCCTGCGTGGCGTGACCTTCAGATGTCACAGGAGAAACCGTATACAGACGCCTTTTCAAGGAACTTTTTGGAGGGAGCCCTCCAAATGGATCAAAGGTGCAAGGAGACCCTCGAGCTTCCCTCAGGGTCTTGGTGATTGGCCTTACCAAGGGGTGGCTGCAAAGAGGTTTTGCCCACTTGATCCCACTTGCATGCTGGGAAGATGAAGATAGCTCTTCAATATTCTTCAATGCTCTTTACAACTTCAGTGCCCCAAACATCCTCACACTGCAACATGACAAAAAACCACTGGTTCAACTCGTGTTGCGCAAGCTGGCAGTTTCTCACGATCTTCCTTCAGTTGCATGCTGGTTCACTGGAAAGCCCGCACCCCAGAAAGACAAAACGGTGAAACCTGTGGTCGTCTTCATGTCTCTCATCTAAAACGTTGGAACAAATCTCCACACATCTCCACACCACGTCTCCAAGCACCACAAGAAAGAACATCTTTCGTGGCGAGATCACACACCCACCCCACGGTCACGTTCGCTCCCAATCATCAGATCCTCAAGCTTGTTTAGAATCTAGACAGAAAGCGCTATCCACTATCATCCACTATCCTTCTTTGGGCTCCCAATCGCTCTATCTCCCAAACGGAACACACACACACACACACCTAACCAGCTACCTCACGGGCGCTGTTTCCGAGTCGTCCATGAACTCCCACCGGCGCCTTTCGAGCGTGATGCGCGTCACGTGGCGTGCCATCAGGTGATCTCGCAAGAAGGCCTGGTAGTACCAAACGGCCCCAGCGTGCAGTAGCAACACCTGGCACCGAGAGTGAGTGATGGGCGGGGGTGCAAGGACTTGACTAGTGAGAGACTGGCCTTGAGCATCTGAAAGCAAGAATTGTAGCAAAAGGGTCACCTGCGAGCACTCTTTTTTCGGGCCCAACCCAAGCATCAACAGCCTCATCATAAAGCTGGATATAGACTGTTTCCTGTGGCCTCTTGGGGAGGTGTGGCATTTCAACACCCAAAAAAAGAACACAAGTCCCCAAAAATGCAGCTCAATGACTCCAAATGCGGCCTGTTTTGCAGGCCGCACGAGTTGCTTGCCCACCATCGACTCACGAAGCTACCGCTCGGCACCACGACTCACCACCGAATCACCGGTGTCGTTCAAGCGCGGTGGAGGCACAAATGTGCTGTTGGAGGCCAACTGCTCAGTCACCTCACGTCACGGGTCACGGGTGAGGAGTGCCACCATCCAGTGGTTGCAGGTGTCAAAGTGGTTTGCAAATAGATGGCAGAGGTGATCAAATATACCATTCTTATCCATTCTTAATCCACTGGCACATGAATGAACAAACACCTTCAAATTCCGGGGGCCTGACCTATTAGAGTCCTACAAGCATCCGGAGAACCCCGACCTGTTGGGGATTCCTTGACCTGGATCTGCGAACATCTTCGGATTCCGGGGACTCCAGCCGGCGTCCCAAGGGTCCCAAAAGCATCCAGAGTCCTCCCTGAAAGCACCACTGGTGTAGCATGAAAACCGTCCCGGCATGCAGGTGTGTGCACGCCTTTTCAACCTTCCCACTTCCCACTGGGGGCGAGCAGCCGTCATGAAGTTCTCGAAGTCGAAGTGGTGCCCCAACACTTTGGCATAGGGCGCCCCAAGCCTCAGTCACATGTCGGGCTGGAACTGTTTCTTCCTTCTCGGTCTGCACGTCACAAGTGGTGCAAACGTCAGGGGCCTGAAGAGGGGCCATCTTTATGCCAAGGTCTTTCTGGTCAAAGCTCGAAGTACAGCACCTCTCACACCCCGAAATGGCAAGAATTTTGCCGCAAGAACTCGGCTGGGGGGGGGCACAGCCATCCATTCCAAGACCCAGCCAAATCATCCAACTTTCACACACCGTTGGGTCGGAGAGGTTTCCGGGGGTTGCATGTGCTTGCTACGGGTCTTCCGGCCCTGGAGAACTGTCGGTTCTCCAGCCAGAGGTGAGAACGGTCCAACCCAGGTCGGTCTAGGTTTTGGTCTTCCAGGTCGCCCCAAATCATGGGAGTTTGATGTGGCCCAAATTCACTGAACATGGAATTCGATACAACATCCAATTCGCCGGACTTGTATTGGACCAATTTGGAGCGTGCAAGTTTTGCGCGCTCAACAAGATCACACACACTCTCTCTCTCTCTCTCCCTCTCCCTCCTCTCAATCAGTTTTCCTCGGTGAACGCCAGGTTTTTTGTGAGGCCAACGGCCTTCCCCAGCGGTTCTGACTCGCACACGGTCCAGCCGGTCTAGCCGGTCCTAGCGGCAGGTCCAGCGCCACCGTGGCCTGCGTCTTGCGGCGCAGGCGCGTCACCTCCGCGGTGAGGCCTCACGGCAGGACAGAAAGCTTTCACGGGGTGGGAGAGAAGGAAAGAAGGTAGTGACTGAGTGACTGAAAAACATGAGCAAACACTTCGTGCGGGACGAAAAAGATCCATGTAGATCCGATCTGGAGCTGGGATGTGCGAGTAATTCCAGGAGATGATGGTGAGATGAGATGATGGTTTGCAATGCTTTTCGGAGGACTTCTGATGACAAATGAACGAGTTCCAGACCATTTCGACGCAAAAAGGATCCCAACGGATTCCACTGCGATGTCTACGGTCTCACGGGTGAGTGCCTGGATCCAATGAGATTTTCACGAGTGCCTAGACAACACAGGGTGCCAAACCATTCCAAACCACCTCGCCTGCAAGAAGAACACTCAAAGACACGTCACCCTGGTGTTTTTTCACGTCCGCACTGACCGTTTTCGGAGCCGCCTTCGCAGCGAAACACGTCCGTTCCGCGTGGCGCAGTCCGTCGGGCGGCGTCGCCCGCCGCGCGGACGGCTGCGGTTCGTCCATGGCGAGCGAGGCCCCAAGGCCGGAGAGCGATGTGCATGGAGTCGATGAAGATAGCTAGGGTGGGACCTCAATTGGTCCTTCTCTTTAAGCTCAGTTTGAAGTTTGTAGCTTTGAAGTGGTTTTGCAAAGCACACAAATATTCAGAGAGATCCTGACAAATCTGACAGCCTTTCTTGTGTAAGAGAACACTTGCAGGTTGACGTCCAATCAGCTCATAACAACCTTGATGGGATTTCAACCCATTCTATCCATATTTACAGGATAGTTGCTATTCAACTTAATTCGATGTACTTCAAAACGCATCAGAATGGCAATGCCTCTGCAAATGCCTGTTCAGTAGAAGCAGGAGTCTTGGTCTAGTCATTGATGTTGCTCCGTGAACCGCGCTCCGTGAAAGCGAGTGAAAACCTGAGAGTATCGATGTAAGCTTTCTCGACAAACGTACACCAAGAGCCCAAGAGCTCGGCAACGCAGAATGAGAGCTGCAAAACCCCTTCGTCTTGGTTCGATGTTCGACGCGAAAAGCAGCAGGGCAGGTGCAACAGCAGGGGCAACCGCTTGTTGGAAGCTTCACATACATCAAAACATAAATAACACTGGCCCAAAAAGGCACAGATTGTTGAGATTGCCTGTGGATCCCTGTGGCTTCTCTGATCCTCGAGTTTCCATGCCAGCTTCTCTTTCTGCTTTTTGGGCTTGCAGGTGCCCGAGGTGCATCTTCGTTGACTTTTTGTTGTGGCTGGAGGAGCTTGGCTTGGTTGTTCTCTTTGATGAGCCTGGAGGATGCAAAATAAGTCTGTTCAATTCTTCAAGGTACGGGCTTGCTTGCACTTCAAATGTAGAAGCATGCACACGCCTCACTAGCACCCTTTGCCAAGGCATGCCAAGGCTAAGGCGGTTGAGTGCTACTCCCCCATTACTATCAGCAAACTTTTGACACAGCAGGTCCTTTCCTCCAACTCAACGATGATATAAACTTATGCCTTCGGGGCCTGCTTTAGGCCTTCTCTTGTTTTCCCCGAACTCGCCTTCCATGAGCACCAGCTGGAAGCGGCCACCCGAGTGGCAGGCCGAGTTCATGAGAGCCTCCGGGGTCAACCGGACGGAGTGAAGTGACGCGAAAGCGGCGCGCTGTGCGTGGCCTCGCAATACGCTTCGTAGGTCTGGTTCAAGGGCGGGAAGAAGTGCACCTGAAAGTTTCCGTGGAGTGCGCCACCTTGGCAGATAGATTTTTTTGAATTTTGGGATCTTGAACCAGGGGTTCCGACTGCCCCAGCTACGTTCGACTGCCCCAGCAAAGATCTCGAAAGCTTCGAGATGCGGCGAGGTGTCACCAGGCGGTGGGCGGGTCCTGCTCTGGATGGTGGAGGCCATGAAATCGAACGTGCCTGGGTTTTTATGAGCTGTGACCTAGGACATTAATTACTATCTATATATATATGTATATACATATATATCTATATTATTTGAATATACGAATATATAATATGTACGGTTATAGTATCTAGATACATCTATTTCACTAGACATTTCTTGCATATAACTATACATCATTATGCAGTCTGAGGATAGGACATTGCTGAGAATCTCTCAGGGTTTGCTGACTTGTTTCTGCCCAAAGACGAGGTGAACAATAAGTTGAAAATGGTCTCCAGCTCTGGATCTGGAAATTTTAAAGCATCTCTCTCTCTCTCTGTCTCCCTCTCCCACTGTGGGCCCCGGCGTGAGGTCCCTTTCAGCTATGTCTAGGTCCACCAGACCTTTGAAGAATTTCCACTTTTGTGTGGACTTCGCATTCCACTACAAGTTCAAAAGCAGAGTTATCAGCACTATAAGTTCGCGACACATCTACACCGGATACTCCCTTCCCCTAAATACCCCAATTCCCCTAGCTGCTGACAGCTCCATGCATCACCGCACACCTTGTAGGAATGAACAACCTCGCGCTCTCTCTCCGTGCTGCCCAAGAAGCACACTCATTGCATGGCACAATGGCGGAGGGCCTTGGAGGATTTAGCTGCGTTGGAATTGGGTCTTCCGCAGCCCAGAAATCGTTGAGACTTGGGTGACTTAGGCTGCTCAAGCTGCTTCCGCACCTGGACCCGGTTCTCTCCACACATGCCACCCACTGGAATCCAAAACCACGGTCCGGCCAGCGAAATTCTGAGTCCCTCAGCGAAAAAGCTGGGCCTTCTGCCTCTTCATCTCACCTTCTTAGAACAGGGCAGGATGGCAAACAATTCCTGGTCCTGATGGTCTTCGTCCTCGCTTTTCCAATGCCCACGCTTAGCGTCCTATTCTATCGTCCGACTCTTTGGAGGGGTCGAACGGCCTTTGCCAGAAAAACCGTAGGGGTGGGTAGCAAAACTACATCGAAGATGGGGGGCTAGGGCACTTTCAAACAAATCCAGGTACCTTCGCCAATAAACCACCGCCCCCCACGTCCGACAGGAAACGACCCTGGGTGCTCTGCTTCTGGGCCTGAACTGCGAAGGCCATGGCGGGATCCGTGGCCTCGAGCGAGGTTTGTGACGGCGAGACTCACGGCTTCACGGCGAGAACGAGCCTCCGAACATATTTTGATGTAGGATGAGGAACGCAACGACAACCCTCTTCTTTTTTCTATCCGTGGTAATGCTACAGTGCTGTACGTGCATCACCTGCATCATTAGAATATCATAGAATATCTATGAACGTCTGAACAGCTCCCTTCAACCCCTGAGTATCACCATGGTGTTCTGTATCACTTCCCGATCTCTGTGACGGCGCGACCAAGGCGATGCTGGGAAGTGAAAGTGCTGTTGTGCCCCAACGGCGAAAGCTGGGGTTCATCGTGAACATCCAATGAGGAAGGGAACTTGGCACCGAAAAATAGGAGCATCTGATGGTGAATCCCTCTCTTGACAGATCCAGCCGAAAACTATTTTTGCTGAACAGCTCCCTTCAACCCCTCCAAAAAAGGACCAAAAGAAGCAACTCGATGAAGTCCTTCAGCTCCGTTCGCTGAACATCCGCTCCGTCCATCCACCGGTCCGTTCGCTCCCCACGCGACCCCGGCGACCCCTCCGAACATCCGAAACCGCACCTCATCGCCATAGAGCGACCTGAGTGGGGAACTGGTTGGTGTTCAACCCACTTGATGAGTCAGAGAGTCAGAGAGTCAAAGGGTCCAATCATCCCCAAGTAAGGGTTGGATATCTCATATCCGAAACCATCACCTAGAGAATCGGCCACGAGTAGCATCTACACGTTCGATGGTCCACTGGATTCATGGATAGTGACGTTAGAGCTGTTCACGTAACATCTGAACTGGGCCAGGGCACCTTCTTGGGAGGCCTCATGCTCAAGGCTAGGTGCGAACTGACCAACCAGTTTGAGTCAGTTTTGAGTCTGGATGTCCCGTTCAGGCTTCGCCATGTCCTGCTGAACATCCCTCCACCCACCCACAAAGCAGCCAGTCTTTGCACACCCGCAACTCCTTCCAAACTTGCCTGAACCCACACCTCTCTCAACACCGTCGGAACACCCACGTCGCCTTTGGAGTCCTTGGGGCGCCCGAGTTGCGTCCGGTCAGGCGCCCGAGTTGCGTCCGGTCTTTCGAGCCGCCTGTAGATCTGGGGAACCCAAACACGATGGCCCCAACCTCCCAAAGCCAAGGGTTCTCTGCCTCGGGAGCGGGGGGGTGCCCGGGCAACCGTGCCGAACGTGCAGAGCCCTCCCCCGAAAGAGACACACATATACATACACATACACACACCTGACATGATTCGAATCTTTGAGTCAGTCTGTCTCTCTGTCTCTCTCTCTCTCTCTCTCTCCCTCTCTCTCCCTCCCCTTCCCTCCCTTCATGACCTTCATATGAAACACCCCCTACTACTAGTCTGCCCTGGCGTTTTCTCCTCATCTTCGAAGTGAAGCACCCTTTATCTTGGACACATCTAGCTCGATCATCTGGCAGCAAGCCATGCGTAGAAGGCAGGCCCAATGGTGTAGTTGGTGTGGATCAGAAGTGATCCATAAGGCGTCCCTCTGTGGATTTTTAACTGCTGAAGGGATCTATATAAAAGGTTTAGAACCTGTTAGGTCTTGCCCTGCAACCATATGTAGATGGCGCAAACCTCTGCAAACATACAAAACATGGACTTCCGGGATCACGTATTGGTGAAGGGTGGGTTGGACGGTTGGACTCTGCGCAGTCTGCACTATGATTTATGGTTCTACTTGATTGCAAGGTCCTGTGCTTCTGCAAGGTCACTTCAAGCTGAAGTTTAGCTTGAGGCGAACCCTGGTTGGCGGCAGCGAAAGAGAACACTCACTTATCCTCAAAGAAGTGGCACTGCAAACTCGATCAGCCTGCTGGGGCCACGGTGAAAACCCATGCCTGAAACCCTTCACAAAAGTGCGATCCATGGGGTGTTTCTTGATCAACTGCCGGCCAAAAATCAACACCAACAATTTGCGCGACCAACACGATCTGAACCACTTGCCCGCTGCGTTCTTCCTCGGCCTCCTTTTGGCCACAGCTGTTTCAGCTGCCGCGTCGGCAGATCTTCTGCCAGACAGGCGCCAGGAGGGCTGTTCCGCTGTGACTGACCTGGTTCTGAGACAGGAGTCTGACGCTGCCGGTTCCAATGGTGGTGAATGAGATATCCTCCCAACAAATGAACGTGGGGCTGAACGGAAGACCATGTTGCTTTGTAGTCAGTTTGGAGGTCCAATGTGAGTCTGTGGAGGGTAACATTGACACTTCTTCTATGCACAATTTTTGTTGGTCTGTCCATCTGGTCCCGCCGCCCGCCTTAACAAAACACTCCCGCCTGAACAGTGAGGCAGTGTCTCACCCTTCGAAGTTGAAGGTTTCACAAAAAGAAAAGCAACTTTGTAATCCAAACAATGGCACAAAGTGTCTATCACTTCCTGTCTTTGGACACCTTCCTGTCTGGTCACCCTGGTCGACCCGACCTCCATTCATGGCGGACTTTAAGAGAAGGGCTCTCCCTTGATTTTGGACGAACCGACCAGAAGATCAGAAGTCCCCACAAGTCAGACGCAAAAAGGACTCGATCGAAGAAACCAGGCCTTAGGAGGTGGCAGGCCCACGAGTTCCTTGGGACGCCCCGTAGCTCTGGGTGATCGAACGATCGAGCCGTCATAAAGCAACCAAGCTTTGCCCGCTGCTCGGGTGGGAAAGCATTTCACCTGGCTATATGGAAAAAAGACCGACTCCTGCAATCAGCAAAGCTTCGAAGCGCCAAGTAAATGTCGCTCTGATCTGCAATGCCATAGTCCTTGGCCGTTTTGAGGAACATCCGAGCTGGGTGTATTATGTGGCGTCCCTTCAGCTGTCAGAATTCTCAGCCTCTTCAGCAGTTCATACTCACGTCGTTGCGATCTTTCGCCTTTCGGCCAGTCACCACGGTAACGAACCGGGGACCGACACGTCGTTTGAAACGCTGAAAGGAAGAGCTGCTCTTCACCGGTGTTCGCCGGTGTTCTTCGTAACTTCACCGGTTGATTGCGCAACAAGGGTCGTATAGGAGCCTTCCTTTCTGCAGGGCCTTGCCCTTGAAGATAATGCCTCGAAATTCTGGAGAGCTGCCTTCCTGGGATGAGGTTTGTGCACCCAAACGGGCCGAACAGCAACTGGCTGTGGGTGTTTGGCCCGTTTAGGTTGATTGCTGCTGACTGTGCCAAGAGATCGGAGACTTTTCTACACATTTTTCTTGCAATGCTTTCTCTTTAGTCCTGATTCCCTCAAAAGCACATCTAGGAAGTGATTTTAAGTGATTGAACACAACGATTTGGCTATTGCTCAAAATGCTGTACGTGTTCCTTGCACCAACATGGGAACAAGGACCTCCCAAAGGCAATCTTCTTTATGAAGGGTGTTTTTGTATGTGTCGCTCGTTTCTTGGGAACGTATGAAGCGAGATACGTGCAAAGCTGAAACATACTGATGAACAAGAGTGCAATTCTGGAATCACAGGAGGACACCTTCTGCTGTGGAAAATGCAGCTGGAAGCACTCTAAAGCCGCTGAAACAGTAATTGAACATGTAGAGAAGGTTGTTCAGGGAGATCCTGCCTGATAGAGTGATCAATTTCCCACAATTCGTGCCTGCGTTCAACAGTAGTGCATGCTGGCTTCAAAGTAGTCCTCTCCAGTTTCCTTAGCACCCGTGGAGAGCTTCATCTAGAGCGCTCTCTCTCTCTCTCTCTTTCTCATCGATCGTTACCGTTGGTAGCAGTTAAACTCACAAGGTGTAGACCGTCCACTGGTATTGAACTGCCACTGAAGGGGTGTTTATAACCGTAACGCAAAGAACTTGACAAACCATCAACACTATATACATAAATTAACAAATCATCCTCACATGTGAAGCAACCCTTGCCCTTTAGAACCTCAATTCATGGATCATGGCTCCCAATTCAGAAACAAATTCTGAAAACAAATTTCCCCAGTCCACTGAGTGCACTGGCATGCGCTCGTTTAGCGCTCGCTTAAGCGCTAAACGCGGCTTTTCTGGGTCGAGGCCGAGACCGCCCCCTGATCGATCGGCAAAATAAAGGTACACCTTTTTAATCCTTTTCCCACCTCTTGGATTTTCGTGGGGGAATCAGAATCTTCTGGTTTTTGGATGCTTTTGGGTTCATGTATTGTCACAGCAGCGGAAAATAAAACAAAAGCTATGGGCAGGAACAGTAGCATCTACAGTAGCCACCCGTAGACGGGTGCAGTCGACTTCCTACTGCCAAAGCAAGTGAAGCCTGCGCCGAAACACATCCAGCTTCTCCTGTAGCTGGTCCACGGTGGCACAGGGGTCCAGCTGGAAGCTCAATAGCTTCCCTCGCATGGTGTGCACCTTGTCCCAAGGACTGGTGCAACCAGCGAAATCGGATGTGGTGGGTGGCGAACTTGCCTGATCTGTTCTGCGGTGAGTCAACTTCACCTAACCATTAAAAAGGTCTTCGACTGATCCCAGCAAACTGGGGAGCCAGGGCCATGTTTAGGCTGGTGCCCGGTACAAATTGCAAGCAGTGAGCAACTCCCAAGCTGGGCTCTGCAAAGGCTTTCCGAAAGAAATAGGACAAATATGGACAAATTATCTCAGGATCTCGAATACATTTTAGCACAAAGGTGAGGTCTAGCCGTGCGCCGTGTACTGCCACACTCGCATCGTGCCTTGAGCTCCACGGGCTCTCGCACAAGCACCAAAGTCAGAATGCTCGAGCTGCTGAGCTTCAGATCGGACAGCTGCTGCCTGAGATCTTTGGTGAAACCCACCCGGCGTCGTTGGGTGAAGCCGTGTTTTTCCGCAAACTGGTGAATGCCGGTCGGAGACGGTTCGTCACTGGCGCTGCAAGGTGGAAGGTTCTTGTCCAGCACCATGAGGGACTCATCTTAGTGGTAAGCTAGTGGAATCGCCACCGTTGATGCAATCAGCTGTTGTCCGAGGCCCTCATCTGTCAAATCTGGTGGGGGGGTCATCCATGTGGGAAGCAGGCTAGCAGCTAGCAAGGAGTTCCTGATGGTGGGCAAAGTTGGATTTCAAACACCATCAAGTACCCTAAACTTCCATGGCCCCTGCCCACAAACACGGCTTTTACGGACATGTTTTCTTACATAGTCAAACATGTTCATGAACAGCAGCAACATCTAGACAATTTACTTGGGGCCGCCCAAGTCTGTTTCGCAATGCCAGTGGCAGGAATGTCCAAAGCCCAGGAATTCCAAATCCGAACTGGTTGGTGTTTTCAGTCCACTTGAAAAATATGAGTCAGAAGGCCATCCCAAGTAAGCGTTAAACATAAACATATCCGAAACCATCACCTAGCAGACCATATGTCGAAAAAGACGTGTCCATGGCTGGCAAGCGGCTTGTCTTCCAACAAGGTCTCCTTATGGCTTGTCTTCCACGGTTGGTGGATTCTGGATGGATGGTCTCCCCAACGGTCTCTATGTCTCACCGACTGCCTGCACCAATCGCACTAGTAGGTGTTCGATGGTTTTGTCTATGATTCTTTTGCCCAGGGGTTTTGGTACACACCCATCTTCAAGTTGAGATGCTTTTTGAAACACTGTTCTCATATGGCTAAATGATGCTAAATGTATCTCTGGAGTCCCCGCCCCCGATTTTTGGTGGTCTTGGGCCCAGTGCGTGGTTCAGGGCAACTTCACGAATTGAGTGCTCAGTACCCACCTGGCTAGAATGCAAGAATGCAGCAACAGAACTTTCCAGACCTGTGCACGTACCCACAAGTTTGGCCAGTAAGGACAATAAACAGCCCTGGTCTCTTTGAGAACAACTCGCCATGCACAAAAGGTTTGGCCCAGGTCTCTTCCAGAAGTAGACGCTGGTACGGCATGGGCGCATCCAAACCCTCGACATGGGCGAGCTGCGCCTTGACGTCTTTCACCGACGCCTGAAAAGGCCAAAAAAATCAAAGTAGTGTTGAAGCGAAACACGAGACGATAAACACGCCTTGCTTATGTGGCCCACCATCTGAGCGAAGGGAGGCCGATGTGGGCTGAAAACATGCGCAATCATAACTTGCAGTGCACGACTAGCATCAACATGACTGTCTCTCAAGTGCGCATTCGTGTATAATGCCATTTGTACACTGTTGGGGCGGCTACGGGTGCCACACGTTGCTTACATCTGCCACATTCGTAACAGAGTAAAGCCTTAAGCTATTGGAGAAGTGGTGACACTGGCCCAAGCGAAGCACCGTAATGCTTTCGCTTCGGAATTCCCATCGACTGGCAGGCAAAGTAAGCTCCTTCCGCATGTCACCTTCGCCTGGATATTGACACCAAGCACAAAGTGGCTGCTGCGGCTCGCCTCCGAAGACCCGAGGACGAGGAGCTGCTCAATTTCTCTTCCCTCTGACGGCGGTTCCTGCCTCTTTTGCGTCGGAGCTTTTGTTCTCTGCCTCTGCTTCTTGCATGTTGGCTCCTTCTTGCACTGGTGGTTTTGCTTCTGTGCTGACTCCGTTTTGCACTGCCCCTGCTTCTGGTGTTTCGGTTCCTTGTTGCAGTGCTGCTTCTGCTTCTGGTGTTTCGGCTCCTTTTTGCATTGCCTGTGCTTCCCTTGTGTCGACTCCTCTCGGTATCCGGGAGAGCTTGCTGAATGCCCAAGCTGAGCTGGTCGTTCACGCGGTCCAACACTGACATGGTGAACGGTTGCAACAAGGCGTCCCAGGGCTGTTGTTCCTCCTCGGTAGGGGGACGATCCAGGAAAACCATGCTCATCTTCCTCAACTGCGTTTGGTGATGCCTCGTCCAAATGTGGCCTCGGCCCTTCGTGCCGCCATTGAAGCAGTCCCACCAAACACTTTCCATGTTGCAAGCCCTGCACTTGAAGTGCTTGGCAAAAATGCTCACTGTGTTCCTCTTCAGGCGCCATCCATCTTTCTGGAGCAGCCTCCAGCACCTCAATGTGCTTTTGAGGTATGCAAAGTGCTGCTGATACGGCTTCTTCTTCTTCGGCTTCACCATGGTGGAAACGTGGTCGAGCAGCTGCTGATGCCCATGCAAGGTCTTGTCACACACATGGCATTGGATCAGTCCTCCTTCAACTGAGATACCGATGGATGCCCAGTCTCCTTCGCTTAGCTCGAGCATTTCGATGTCCTCCGATGTGAAACCTCCTTCGTGCATCTGCATTGCCTTCTCATTGGGCGGTCCAAAAGCGTTGAAGTCTACCCCTGGCTGCGGTAAAGTGTCGGCATCAAGCACAGCTTCCCAATCAATGCGCCTCGGCTCCTTGGGCATCCACGGCTGCGACGCCGCTGTGGTCATTGAACTCGGCAAGTGAAGCATGACCTGGTGGTTGAAACTCGTTGGGCTGCTCTTCTGCGAGTAAGGTGTCGAAGCCTCAGGGGTGAAGCAAAAATGCCTTCGAACAAAGGGCGCTTATGATACTGATCAAACTGAATCAAACCTCTTGTCTTTGCGCCGTGAAATTATGGATGTGGTGAGTTAAATGATGTTCAGTGACTCCGACATGAGTGTCGCTAACACAGCCCTGCCTTGCTTTGAGCTCGTGGAGTTCGTGGATCAGCTGTGGTGCCGTTGACTGGCAGCGGACGCGCTTTAGGAGTGATGGCGCCAACGGAGGAAGCCGAAGATGCAGGGACCCCCCCCCCGCGACCAGTCGGCTGCCCGATCCGCAGATGCTTTCGGAGGAGTGGTGGCCATGCTGGCAGGGGCAGGAAAAAGGGGCTGATGGTGAAGGTGAAGTGGTGCTGGCGGGGGTGGTGGGGGTGGCAAAGGTGGGGGTGGTGCGGGTGATCGGGGTGGGGACCGGGGTCGGCCAGCAGGAACACAAGCAAGATGGTCCCTTCGAGCAAATGATGCCTTGGACGGGCAAGAGTGCTCCTTCTTGCTGACCGTGTCTCGTGGTTCGACTTCTTCTGTGTCTGCTTTTGGCTGCTCCGGAGAAACTTCCTCTTTGCACACTTCCTCAAGCTCCACAGAAACATCCCGAGGCTCTGGGGATTCTTCCTTCTGGCGCTTGGGCTGAGGCTCTGAAGAAAGTTCTTCTTTGCATGGTGCGCGTTTGGGCTGAGGTGCAGGAAACCCGAATTGTGCCTTGGACTGAGTTGGTGCCTTGGCGGCCACTCCTAGTCCATCCTCTAAACGCTTCAAGCGTTCCTCCAGATCATCAAGCATCGGCCGTCTCCCCGAGTCAGGATCACGGATCCTATACTGTGAGAAAAAAGCAGAGTGAAGTGCTGAGTGAAGTGCTGTTTATCCAAAGTGACATGGATTCACACGTGTTGCAATCCTCTTTTCTTTCGCCCAATAAGCTCTAGCAGCTAGCACACTCTTTCATGCATCGATTGATTGAGGATCTTGAAATATCTCATGTCCACAGCTGGAAGCCTCATGGCCACTGACTGAGGCAACTTGGAGGCCCGTGGGCCCGCGGATTTGGACGTGGAGACTCATCACCTCCAGAAGATGGAGGACTTTGGAAGGTGGTGAAGCCCCAAAGTGTTGAACAGTTTGTGGGAGGAACAGTTGAGGATTGAGGACGTGGGAAAAAACACACGTCTTACCCGTCCGATCTCTGGCTTTCCAGCTTGAGCTTGCACTCCCTTTTACGAGTTCATCGCCAGCCAAGACCCAACACCATACCCCAAAGTCCCTCCATCAAATATCATCAAATCCTATCAAATCACCCATCAACTTGAAACAAAGGAAGACCAGTCCAGCAGCATCAAACCCTTGGTTGACTCTAGTGAGCTTCGTGAGGTGTTCAGTCAAACATATTCACCGTTGTTGAAGACTTTCTCACACACACACACACACTCTCTCCATTTTTCTCGCGCTCTCTCTCTCTCTCTCCATCGCCCTTTCCATGAGAGTAGCCATATCATCACACCAGGAAAAGGGAAATCTCCACAACAACCATACCCTGGCTTTGTTCCTCCAGGACCCTTTTGGGGCCTCCTCACTCATCTCAAGGTTCACCACTTGGCCGCTGACGGTTTGCACATGGATCACGTGCATGGGAGCGGTCATTTCGAGCCCATGCACGTGTATCGGCGTGCTCCGGCTGGCCAAGACAAGCTGAAATGGAGAGGGCTCAACTGCATACTCAACCTTATAGCTCCAATTGTCACTATTTAAATCCGTGTAATAGATCATAATGGAATTTAACATTCTTCACTGCAAGTTCCCTGTCAACTGGTCGCTGTTTGTTTCATCATCACATTCTTGCCATTGCTACGCTGGGACTCAGGGCTTCTCAGGTAGCTCCATCCATAGAGTTTGATGAACACTTTCTTTCCAATGCATGGTCTGGGCGTCAGCACTTTTTGGTTTCAGACAGGAGTTCATTTAATAACATTTAATGATACTTTGAATATACATATATCTAATCTTATTCTAAATGCCTTTAATTCTGCCTTCCAAAGCGTCTTGAGCGAAACGGCTCGGAGTCTTGCTCGGATTTTTTTCTGCGTCCATCCGTGGGAGGAGCTGGGATGTGGCTGCGTGGCTGGTGGCCTCCTGGGCTGCCATCATGTCTGTTAAGATCCTTCATGGCCAGACTCTGTACCTCTCTGGGGTCGCAAACACATGACATGGTTCACCCAGGTGCAGCTCGAAACAAAGATAAACAAAGCAAGTCTCCCTGCGGAGATTTCCGCAAAAGAATGTCTAAGTGATATCGAGTGATTGCATCTTGCACACCAAACGGACTTTGGTGGCGCGGGTGACCCTTCGTCAGGAATCCCATCAAGTTTCCCGCCCCGCATCATCATCGTTTCAGTTGCTTCGCACTAAACACTTTGAACCACATTGACCGGAACGTGCATATGGAGAAGCAAGAGAAGTATTTTCTGCTGAAAAGAGATCGATCGCTCTACTCCTCTTGGCCACTGAGATGTGCCGTGTTTGGTAAGAAGAGAATGTTCTTCAGAGGTTTTTGCAAAGCCGGTGTTGAAAACGCATGCTGCAACACTAGCGTATGATTAAGCACCAAGGTCCCTACAGTCCGCCAAATGACTATTCACCGGGACCCTGAGAAAACGGGTTCCGCAAATTCCCTGCCCTCATGGAAGTGGACGATGGTCCCTTCCTCTACAAACAGCTTTTCCATTTCGATTGCTTCAGAGAGTGTAATCATTGGCATGTGATTCGGCCCTCCATTCTCCATGTGATTCTCATCGCTCCTTCAGAAAAACCGCCACACGACACCATCGTGCGTATTTTCTCCAAACAGGATGCGCCCAGGTGCCAAGAACTGAGCATCGAAGTTCTGCTTGAAGACCCGGATCTGGGCACCGCTGGGCCTGAACCGACGGTGCCCAGCTGACGTGTGCCGTCGCCGAAGGCAGGTCTGGTTGACCCGGGTCCGCCATAGAAGCACGAGTCGAGCCGCATATTTTTTGGTCTTCTGCCCCGATGTAGATATTATATACACATGCTCATGAATCGGGTTATATCGGCATCTGTATCTAAGACGGTCTCTGATGGACTCTGAACATCTCTGAACCTACCATTTTCACATCTTTTGTTTACACATTTTTGTACCATGCTCAGTCAATATGGAACATGTCTGAAACATACTCATCATATTTCTTTTTGGATGATGTTTGGCAAAGGACAAACGATACATCTCAAACAAACAATCGCCCGGTTTGAGCTTCTTAACAAGCTGAGCGACCGGGGCGAACAGTCATTGGACCAGTGCTCCTACGGTGCGACGCGACTTGGAAATCACGGTCGACGTAGGTGCTGCGGTGAGCGACTGGCGCGCCTGTTCACTCGACACAGCGATGGATCGTTTCCCAAATATTCCAACAAAGGTGGGTCAGAACCCTCTAGACTATCCCATAGGTACCCCAGGTGACGGGTCCTATTGACGGTCACCGGCTACCTCTCTTGGTGATCCTTCACAAATGCAGCTCCCAATCCAATGGTCTGTCCGGTCCGTATGTTTCGACAGCTCCTTTCCAGTGATGCCCCAGCAGGGATCGACCACCTTGGACTGAGACATCCAGTCAAGGGACAGGACAAAAGGCTGGAGAGCTCCAAGTGAGGTTGGCTTGGTTTGTTTCATTGCTAGGCTTGGCTGAGTCGTTTGCTAGCGAGAATTGCTGTGAGAACCCGCTGGTCATGGCTTGGCTTCAGAAACAGCTCGGTGGAATAGGAAGCTGACTACGTCTTTTATGATCTGAAACCTTTTTTTGGTTGGTGGAGATCGGTGAAACTCGAAGCGTCAAGCCGGAGAGCAGGCCAAAGAAACAAAACTAGCATAAAGGCCAAAACAGGTGGCTGGAGGCTACAGGCATCGGGAAGCCAAGCTTACAGGATCGGCCCGAAGACGCTGAACAGCAGAATGGGATCCGGCACAGAAGTCATCAATCATCTTAGGAAAGGCCCCTCAGGATGATCATGATTGTTCCTATTAGCCTATTCTAATCTATTTTACCGAGACCCTGGGACGTAGATATCAAACATATTGAACAATCAAATTCAAAGCAGTGAGCTTCGACTTCTGCATGAACCCCCCGATCCCACACTCAGTCGGCCCTGAAAGCTGAACGCTGCAGCGCCGAGCAGTGAGGGGCACCGTGCCGTGCAAACGTCTGGTCAATGGACTCACTGAAAGCACTCGTTATTGCTCGGCCGAGGACTCCTCTGGGACTCTCAGTTCGAGTCACGATCGCTGGGTCCGTGCGGACCGGCGTGCGGACGGGGGGCGCACGCAGAAGGGGCGCCGGAGGATCAGCCGGAGCTGTCAAGGTTTTTCCTCGACGCCGTCGGCGATCCAACAACTCGTGGGATCAGCTGTGCTCGTGGGACGTGGGACGCGTCCCTGCGGGCGCAGGAGTGTGCCCAAGAGAGCCTGACCGAGTCTTCGTTGACGCCGAGTCCGGCCAAGACGTGCCGAAGCACACGGCTGGCAGTCCGGGGCATCCGGAAGACGCTGTCGTACACAGGGCATCTTGGCCATTGGTGCCGGCCGGCCCCGTATCACGGCCGGGCCGATGTTGAAAAGGAAAAGGCTGGCCTCTTTGCCTGAGCCGCTGACTGCGTGGCAGACTCGCTGTGTGAGCGTCCCACTCGGTGACCTTGTTGAGGCCAATGTTCCAGCCGCCGATGCAAATGCTGCAAGCCTTGGGGCTCCTCTTACAATCACTCCTGTTGCTGGCCTCCCTTCTTTAGCACCCTGGATCTTTTTTGAAATCTGTGCAATATTGTGGGTGGACCGCCCCTAGAGTCCGCCGACGCCTCCAAGTTGCTTCCAACCCGGTTCCGGCACACCTACGAATCCCGAAGAAGCCGACCAAACTTCTGATCTTCTTCCCGAAGCGGCAGCAGGACGCTTGCCCAACTCCAAAGCGCAAAGTCTGAAGGTGACCCCGTTCGAAGGATCATGGTTCCCTCCGTCACCCGAACAGAGCGACGGACACGTACAGCTTCGCCAGTACTGTGGGTGCCAATCGACTCTGAGTCACTCTGTGATACCCCAACACCGTCAACACTCCTTATCGAGGGAAAACACATGGAAAACACAACAAACCCTTTCACATCATTTATCCCTGTGGCAACTATTCTGACACCTCGGAGCCTCGGATGCTGAATACTTCTTGGATCAGGATCGAATCGATGTTGCCGTATCCCAGGTCCCGAGACCCAAGCCGGAGGGGCGTCCTGAAAGCGTGGATTCCAGCTTGTCGGGCCAAAGTGAACCTTGCCACTGTTGCCCAGCGCCTTGTTGGAGACCAAGCAGCTGTTGTTGGCCGAGTCTTCCCTGCTTAGTCGCCCTTACTTTGAGTCTATCCGAGCAACCGAAATGATTTGGGCATGGGTCCGAGAATGTGGGGTGCATGCGGTTTGAGGCCTTCCCCGATCCCAAACTTGGAGCTCCCCAAACCCGGACACATGTCCTTCAGACGCCGCCACGGTGACTGAGATGCCCCGGGAGATCAATGCCGCCGCCAGCCACCCAGGCTCGCCGCCCACCTCAGCCGCGATCAGTAGCGCGCTCGGCGCCAGGACGAGCAAAACGAGCAAGGAACCTTGACAAAGTATTAAAGTTTTTTCACGCTTGATCATGTGGAATTTGATGTTGCATTGGGTGCCATGACGTCATTACTAATTACAATCATCCTGGACAAAACGATGCTGGAGAAAACAAAAGCAAAGGCACGCCCTTGCCCCAAACTCAGGCCATCTACTCTTTAACCTGCAAATGTGAAGCCTTACCTTCAAATCAATTTGAGGGTTGAAAACAACACTTTCTCGGCTTACTAAGTCTTTCAGCCATTCCCTCCAGATTGATCGACCGATCCCCGCCCAAATCTTCTGTGAAACAGGGCGCGTCGAGAACGCCGCGCTTCAAACAGTTGAGGCCCCAATGCTGGACCTCAGAGGATGCAAGGCAACCCAAAAAACCGAAACACGGCGTGCTCAATCAATCATGAGCATTTTTTTTTTCCTCAACTTTTTCCCATCATCACCCGCGATGAAGAAGACAAGATAAGCAATGCAAAAGAAAACAAAAACATAAAGAAGGCCACGAATGAAAACTATACGAGCCAGGGTGCGACGCCTTACCCATTAGGCAACTGACCCTCTGTTTTTCTCAATTAAAAACATATAGGAACACGCGAACGCGCATGTTGAGGGAGAGCAGCTGAAGTGTCGGCCCGTGCTGATATGTGGCAGGCATGCTGAGTGGAAAGCACAAATAAAGAACCACCTTCAGAGCCGATGCCATTGCCCTTCCCAACGTCCGCAAGTCAATCTGGCGCCCCCAACCATCCAGTCCACAATCCAATCAGCTTCACGCCTGCGAAGCGCAAACACCAAACCCACGACCCGAGGCCTGTGGCAGCCAAACCGGAGAGTGATTTCCACTGTGCAGCAGTTGCTCAGGTGCGTGTTGGAGAGGGAGGTTTTATGATCCGTTGTGCAAGTGACGAGTTCCATTTCTTCTCCGAAAATGATGTGACCACTCCAATGCAACTCCTATCAGTTGATGAAAGAACCATGCGCCTGTGCACCGGTTTTCCCTGCAAAAACACTGCCAGTGGGATGCCCTTCTAGATCATGTTCAGAATTGATTCTTCCACCTAAGGCTTGCTGATCCTGATCCACACCGCCTCTTGTTCTCACACCACGTGGAGCCATCAGGCAAGGCGATCTAAGTCGCGTTCGGCGCAACAGCAAAGTTGGTTCTTCTTTGTGGTTCCCAACTTCAAAAGGTAGCAACACGCCTTTTGATTGCCTTGTTATGAGTTGTTTGTCCCATCTTGTAGATTCCAGTAATGGGCCAAATGATGCGAATTGGGTGTCTGGGAGAATGACATGGGGCTATACAAGCAAGCATAATTTTTGCTTTGTGAAGATCCTGTTGCCAGTACCTTGCTGCTTCTCTACTCAACGGTCCTCATTCTCCTTCAAAGCAGCCACTTTTGAGAATCAGCCACCCTTGGGGGATCTTGGGGGCATACCCAGGTAGACAACATGGATATTCTACTTCTGTGTGTTTTGTATTCTAGCCAGGCCTCCTTCCCTCCTTAGTGACTCTCTGTGTAAGAATCTTTCGCTGGAAATTGCTCAGGGGCGGGCAAAAACCTTTGATGCTGAAATTCGAGACATGATCCGATGATCCCGCGCTGATGTTTCTCCCAGCAGCGTGGTTGTCCATGCAACATGGGTGCTCCTCACTCGGGCCCACACCCAGTCTCGCCACTCTGGCCTCAGCCAAGCGTGAGGAGAGCAGGTCGGTTGCTGTTTTTTTAAATCAAAGACCCTGCAAACCCAAAGCCATGGACTCCAAAGAATGATTAGACATACAGAGAAGATCACAATCAATCAAGGGAAACGCGGGAAACGGAAACAGCCACATGCTGGATGAAGGGAACTCCCCACATCATCACCCATCGATGACGGTCGCCTAAAGAAAAACTGAACGATGGATTTTGATGGCTCAGATTTCTGTGGCTTGGGGAGGCCATCAGAACCTTTAGGTGGATGGGATCTGCTCGCGTGGAGGTCTTGCTGCGCCAACAGCCTTTCAAACCAAAGCAAGTCAGATTTTGAGGGGGGCAAAGCTTGTAGGCGAGAAGGGGAGGTCGAAGCTCAGCAGCAACTCTAGCAGCAAGACCATACAACACCCACTTACTTTACCATTTATCTTTTGTAATCTTCTGGTTGGTCCAGGCTGGAGCACTCAAGCAAGCTACAAAGATCTACAAAGTTATTTCCGGCAAACATGCACACTGCCCAGTCTGTCAGAAAACTCCTGTGGCTTGCTTAGAGTTTTTGGAACTGGCCTAGGGGTGTAGACATCTTCGTGTGCTGAGCTTCTAGATTGAAGGTGGACGGGGGGTCTGTGGATGAATAATGAATAACGATGAATAAATGACTGGACACAGTGTGGATTGATAGGATACAAGTAGCATAGGGGTCGGGAAATATCACCTAAGGCGTCTCTAGGTTTAGCTACCATTTCCTTGTGCTGTGATCACCTTCGATCGCAAAGATCAACCTCTTCATCGCACATGGAGTTGGGAATCTGAACGAATGCCATCCAAAAGGGGTCATGGATCATCTGATCATCAATGAATCAAATGAACGAACAGTAATGAATCTGGTCGTTTCATTCTGTTCGTTCATATTGAATCCTTGGATCATCAACGAATCATAATGAATCAAATGATCGTCGCTCGTTCTCCGAAGGCTGGGGCTCTCCAATTCGCCCCAGTGGCGCAGTCCAGCCCTGGAAGCGGGGCTCGCTCCAGCCCTTGCGCGGTTCTCGAGGTTGCCACCACGGAGGTTGGCTTTTTTGGGTGGTTTGACCCGCGGATCCGCCAGATATTGGCATATAAAAACTTGATTGGTCAACCAGGGTGTCCAACAACTAGCGACTTGCTGACCTGAAACTGTCTGAAAGTGTTAACTAGAGTGACTATAGCTAGGTCAGCCCACTTGGACGCATGAACTTGCTGACACATGTCCATTCCAGGTATATTACTAAAAATATATATGTAAATGTATATATATAGTTATATTTACATGTATATATAGACTGATTGGAAAACAAGGCACAGCGCCGAGCACAGTTTCGACCGCCACACCCGTCTATCCCACACCATCCCAGGGTGTCGCTTTCTGCACGCCCACCACATCAGCAGCAGCTGTGTGCCCAAGAGACCTGTACACTGACCAACCGTCGTCCTGTCGCGCAACAATTCTCTTCAACCGCACTTGGGTGATCAGTTTCTCTTTCGTGGGGCGTTTGTTGGTTCAGAGGTTAGGGGACGTTGGAAGTCTGGAGGTCTAAATCAATTCTAGAGACATGTAAAACGAGCACTCTCTACTTGCGCATGTTTTCCATAGCAGCTCGCTACTTTGGGACATATTCATGGTGGAGGCCTACAAACACAAGCCAGCTACAAACATGAACATACCAACTGGCCCGGGCCTTTCCAACCAACCCAACCTCAAAACCCTAGCTGGCTCGCTTCTGAGACGGGACGATCCCATTTGTTGGGAGGAACGAACTTTCCAGTTGAATAGAAGGTCTGACTCATCGAAGGTCTTCTTGCCTTCAGGCTGCAGCCCTTCAAATTGCAAGGCGCTAGCCAGCTTCATTCTCTTTACACACCTTGAATTCCGTGGCGGGCGATCCAGCTGCCCCGGTGGGAAAGCAACAATATATCAAACAAATCGTTTCATACAGCACATCGCTCGGCTACCATGATACTTCTTCTATAAAGTGGCGAAAGAATGACCGCGAAGGTGTTATGCTCTTGCTCTTCTGGTTCACTCCAACGGCTCAAAGCTTTTGTATTCCTATATGCTCCATCCTATTTCTATGGTTCCTGTCCCACCGCCAGTGAGGCACCATGCCACGAGTGGGGCTTGCCCATGGCTTAAAGAGTTGCCAAGCCCCAGATCAGAGTCCTGGCAGCCGACCAATGTGGACCAATGATTGGAATGGGTCGGCATCTTTCTAATGAGCGAGCACGAAATCATGATGCTGCATTCAAACGAAGCGAGCAACGATTGGGCATAAGAATGGAAGCTGGAACATCTTCACGTTTTGTATCGTTTTGGGCTCTGAACACATGAGCATCTAAGGGGTAACATGGGGTCACTGGGAACCTGTGGATATCACTGGATAGTCTGCTCATCTCCGGACGTGGAGTCTGGGCGACGTGGGACCTCCGCCGTTCGCGTTCGTGACTCGAGGGTTCTGCGTTTCTAACTGTTTCGTTCGTGCTCTCTTCTCGGATCGCCGTGCATGTCGCGTTCAACACATGCGAAGCCGCCGATTCGGAAGAGAGTACTCGCTTGAGACATCCCACTCCGGCGACGTCCAACCCGCCCAACCGAATGCTCAAGTCTCCCCGGTTCTTTTGGTGAATTTGGACCCGTCAGACCAGACCAGTAACTGCACCGGATGGGACCAACGCCTTGTCCCCGTTTTCCACCGGATTCCGTTCACGTCCCGTCACTCGCCGGACAGGACTCAGTGTGGTTTCAGAGTGATGGCGCAATCCCCCCAAAAGGTGGCTCAGCGGTGCATCTACATCGCAGACTTCCACCGCTTGGTGCCTCCTTCAATCACCCAACCCTATGCACTGAATGCCCCAAAACGCGCGCGCGCGGTCTTTTCCACGCGCCACCCGGACGCACGGGGACCTGAGCAGGGCACAGCCGGGGACCTCTTGAGCACTGTCACCAGTGAGTCACCGGTCACTGGCCACATGTGCAAGGTTGAGCCGGGAGTCGAGAGGATGGAACCTCAACCGAGGGCCAGCACTGAGCGAAGCGCTGGTCGTCTTGGCTGTTTCTGGAATGAGTTTTACCCAAAGGCTCAGAAAGGGACCCTCAGTTTGTTAGGGTTTTGACTCTCACAACAAGGGTTTTGGACCTCAAACATGTAGCGGTTTGAGG